GGAGGGGGGGGGGGTGAAAAAGCTCCCGGAGACCCCCCCCCTTGACCCCCCCCCCAAGGCAGAGCTGCTGGGCACCGTGGGAGGGACAGGGCGGCCTCATCCCCTGATTTATCACCTTCCTCCCTTAATCCCGTTAAGGTTTTAAACCCGCGGCTGAGCGGCTCCGGCACGTGCCCCGGCTGAGCCCCGGCCTCCGCACACCCCTCCCCGGGATCCCGGCCCCCACGGCCCATTCCCTGCCTCTCCCGGAGCTCCCGGTACCGGCAAAGGGCTCCCGGGGGGGGTTGGAGGCGGCTCCGGGCGCCGCCGTCGGGAAAAACTCACGTTTTTGAGGAAATGCCGCGCCACGATCTCGTTGTTGAGCTCCCACTTGACGTTGTTTTTCATGCCCACCTCCAGCCGGCAGCTCTTGAGGAAGCGGATGGTCTGGAAAGGGTGGGGAGGGAGGTTTTCGGGGTACAGGGGGTGCCCCCCCAGGCTCAGCCCAGCTCCGGGGCAGACATGGGGTGGGCAGAGAGGTTTCCCGGCGCCCGGCCAAGGCTCGGAGCTTTCCAGGACTCGGGAAGAGCTGGAGACCCACCAGTGCCCCCCACCCCAGCTCACCTTCTCCCCGCTCTGGGTCTGGAGCACCTCCAGCTTCCCTTCCTGCCGCAGCTGCGGGGAAAGAGGTGGAAGAAGAGGTAAAAAAATAGGGTTTGACAACACTGTGTCCCCACAGAGCCCGGGGGGGCTCCCCCACCATCACAAACCCATCGTTGACACACGGGGGGGGCTCAGCTGCTGGTTAAACTCGGGGTTATCTACGGAGCTGAGACCCTTCAGGTGACACCGAGGGCTCAGGGGGATCCCACGGCCGTAATTCCAGGGCAAGGGGCAGATCCCACCCCACCGAACCCGGGGCAGACACAGGGGTGGGCAGAGAGGTTTCCCAGTGTCCAGCCAGGGCTTGGACCTTTCCAGGACTCGGGAAGAGCTGGAGACCCACCAGTGCCCCCCACCTCGGCTCACCTTCTCCCCACTCTGGGTCTGGAGCACCTCCAGCTTCCCTTCCTGCCGCAGCTGCGGGGAAAGAGGTGGAAGAAGAGGTAAAAAAATAGGGTTTGACAACACTGTGTCCCCACAGAGCCCGGGGGGGCTCCCCCACCATCACAAACCCATCGTTGACACACGGGGGGGGCTCAGCTGCTGGTTAAACTCGGGGTTATCTCCCGAGCTGAGACCCTTCAGGTGACACCGAGGGCTCAGGGGGATCCCACGGCCGTAATTCCAGGGCAAGGGGCAGATCCCACCCCACCGAACCCCAAAGGGAGATGGGGAGGACCCCAGGGAGAAAGCCAGGCTCTGAATCCCGGTTTCCGAGCGGGGACGGGGGTAAAACCCCCCCCAGGTCACCTTCTTCTCCTCCTCAAACATCCTCCTGTTCTCGGGGGAGGCGTACACGGCCAGTCCCTGCGGCAGGAGCTTGTTACGACCCACGTGCTTCTTCACGCTGACCACGTCCCCCCGGTTCCCCAAATCTGTGGGGAGAGGGGAGCAGAGGCGACGTTAGTGAGGCTGGAGACACCCCCTCCCCACCCCAAGGACCCTTCAGGCTCCATCTGAAGGAGGTTTGAATAAGAAGACCACAAAATTATTGGTTTTGGGGGCTCTGCAGCCCTCAGTCCTCCCACAGCCCGAGGGATGACTCCCCACCACCCCCAAAATCGTTGGAAATGGGGCTTAATAGGGGGGATCCTGCCCCCCCCCGAGGTGGGGGAGGGCAAAAGGGGAGAGGAACCGAGTTGGCTCTTGCGAGCGGCGCCGAGGGACGTACCCTCCACCGACCGGGTGAGGATCAGCTCCAGCTCCCCCCGGGGCTGGTGCTTGGTGTCCTCCAGCAGCCGGTAGATGCGGTGCCTCCGGGGGTGCAGGCGCGGGGGCCTCCCCTCTTTGCTGAGCGGGACCTGCCACCACCGTTCCACCACCACCGTGTCCTGCCCGGGACCGGGACCGGGATGGGGGGGTCAGCCCGGGGCGGGGGGGGCAGCGACCCGGCTGCCTCCCGCCGGGGAAACCCGCTCCATTCCGGGGAGGAGAGACCGAGGAGAGAGGAAAACCCCCCTCTTCCCCCCC